AGGTGACAAAGTTGTTGGTATGAAGAGTGAGTAAGAAGGGTTTTTGGATCACCTGTGATTGAGATTTTGTTGTTGTGGTAAGTGAAAGAAATCTTGGGTATTGAGAAATCATCTAGGAGGGGACCTAGTGTACGTAACCATTCCATGACGAGGACAACGTCGGCTCCTTCAATAGGGATTAAGTGGAACGAAATAACAAAGAGGTGATTTTGTAAGGTGATAGGGACTTGCGAGCAGAGTCCTGAGCATGATAATTTGGAACCATTTCCCACCATCACAGAGAAGTTCGGGATTGGTATAGTTGGGAGTTTTAAGTGCTGAGCAATGCGAGGTTGTAGTATATTGTGGGTGCTTCCCGTGTCAATTAGCATCGTCATAGTGATGTCGTGAAGTAAACCGGTAAACTTAAGTGTCTTTAGAGAGAAATGGCCGCTGACGGCCTGTGGGGAAAGTTGGAAGTAAGTGTCCTCAGGTTCTTTGGCGGGGGATAGGACCTCAATATTGTCTAAGGGTTCGTGGGTTGTAGGGTCATCCTCATCCACCATTAGCAATAAGAATTTTCCAGTGGCACGTTTATGACCTGGTATGAACTTTTCATCACAGTTAAAATAGAGTCCCTGTGCACGATGCTCTTGAAGTTTAGCATTGGAAAGGCGTCGGATAGGTAGTTTAATGGGTTGGGGTACGGTGGAGGGTCTGGGGTATGTGGAAGTTGGTGTTGTGGGTGTTGTATTAGGGTGTGTTTTGTTTGGCGGGTGTGAAAAAGGTTTTTGATATTTGGGTTTAGAGTCCTTGATTTTGGATTCAATTAGTTTAGCTAAGCCAATAGCTTGGGATATTGAAACCGGTTTATGAATAGCGATTTCTTTTTGTATGTCGCTTGCCATCCCTAAAATGAAACAATTTAGAGTAGCTTCCTGAGATAACCCGACAACTTGTGTGCTAACTTTTCAAACATAGCTTGGTATTTTGTGACAGACCCTACTTGTTTTAACTAAAATAGTTCATCTTGGTGGTTTCCATAAGTAGATGGTCCAAAACGCAATTCCAGCGCCTTGGTAAACGATGGCCAGTCTATGAGTAAGCGGCTTTGATGCATCCACTTGAACCAATATAATGTTTCCCCTTTCATATAAAATGACATCATGGATAATCTATTTTCATTAGGTAATTGGTAAAATTCAAAGAATTTGTCAGCTTGAAATAACCATTCCAAAGGGTTGGAGTCATCAAACATAGGAAGTTCTAATTTGGGCGTACGAAACGATGGAAGAGGTGTGGTTTGGTGGGTTGGTGGGTAGGGAATGGATTGGAACATGGGAAAATTAAAATTTGTGTCGTAGGGTGAAGGGTTGGCCTGAGTGATGATGGTGAAGGGAACAGTCTAGGGATTTGGTTGGGTGTAGAACGTAGTGCAGCAGTGGTCATTGTAGGTAAGTGTGGGTTGTTAGAAAAAGTGTCTAAGTGTAATAAGGGGGTAAAGGGTTGGTGTAAAATAGGAGAGGTTGTTTGTGAAATAATGGGGCTGGAATGTGTTGTGGGTATTGGGACCGAGTGAGGAAGGTGAGTGATACCTGAAGATAAAGCTACTATTGCTTGAGCAGTAGTTGGTGGTGACTGGTCCTTTTGAAGAACCAATTTGTTGAGCATGTCCATGATGTTGTCATACCTAGAATCTGAAATTTGCTTTTCATTGTCCATGCGAGTTTGAATGAGTTCCAGATCTGCAGAGGTTTTGTCGAAACGTTCATCCATTTGCTATTGCATTTGAGTCATGGCATTGTCAAGATGGATATGAGTTGTTTGGACAACTTCTTCGATAATGTCTCTAGGATTTGGGGGTTTTGAGGGAGAGGCCATGAGGTTAAAATATGAGAGCACCAATTGATAGAAAGGGTTTAACTACTATTTCTAGATCTAGGGTTTACCATTAACAAGACACAAGACTAGGAACAATATAAAAGATAAAATTAGAATTGTCTTTCCTTTTCTCTTTCTCTAGGAGAAACCCAGAATAAATATACAAGAGTAAGCTTAAACTGGGCCACAACATACAGGCCCAACTAGGAAAATTATTAATAAAAACTAATACAACATCCTATTTTAATTCATAATCCCCCATCCATTTGGGTTGAGTGATAATGCGTTTGGGCCTACTAACATAAAGATACTATTATTTTCAAGTGGTGACCTCGATACAAAGATTTTGGTAGGCTCATATAGTTCAAACACATCATTCTTCACGATTACAAAGAAGCTTTTATCTATAAGATGGTTAACACTTGCAAACAGCAATTTGAAGCATGATGACCCATATTTTTCACAATTATAGCAGTGATTGTTCTTTTTGTCCTTGCTTTGAGTCTTTTGTTGGTTGAATTTTGATGTCACTCCTCCTGTCTTGTAGGATTCAGGTTTACCATCAAGCATGATATTTTGGGAGCTTGAACATATATACTTCTTGAATTCATCTTAATCTTCTTGGCTTTATGCCTCTCAAAACCACCATTCTTCTTAAAAGTTTGAGCCTACATAGCTTGAACTGAGTCTCGCGCTCCTTTCCTTTCAAGAATCCTTAACTCATATGTTTCTAGAGACCCTATAAGATCCCTCATCTTTATAATTGCTAAGGTGTCAGATTCTTGTATAGCAATTATCATATGATCAAAATGAGGAGTGAGTATCCTTATCATCTTTTCAATCATCGTTTTCTCAATCACCATTTCACCACACCTTTTCATCGTGTGAACCAAGCCTTGAATCTTTGATTCATAAGTTGAAATAGTTTCATTCTTCTCCATTTGTAGAAAGTTATACTGTCTTCTAAGAGATTACAACTTAACACCATTCACTTTGTCACCTCCTTCATAGTATTTGATCAAGATGTCCCATGTCTCCTTTGCTTTCTTAGCATGAAAAATCTTGTCAAAATTTGCAGTATCTATTGCTTATTGTATTAAGTATATAGTCTTGTAATCTTTCTTCTTCACTTTATAGTGAACATTCTTCTATGTTTCAGTTGCATTTGTTGTGAGTTCTTGAACTCCATTTGCAACTACGTCGAATATGTCTTGATAGCCAAACAAAGTTTTCATTTATTTGTGTTGTCTCTACCAATTCTTGTCATCAAGAATTAGAAGATCATCACCACCAATCATTTTTACTTGGTTAATAATTGTAGAAAAAAAATCTTGAATTTATGTATTCTACACAATAAAGATACCAAATCTATTGCTCTACAAAAATAATGAGAAAAGAAAATAAAGAAAATATTGAGAGGAATCAAAGTGGTGATTGTATTCAATTATACTTGGCCAATAATATAATTATGTGATATTGATTTATATAGGAACAAGTTACTAATTAATTAACTTTCAGTTAGTAACCACTCAATAATCACATGTATAACTAATAGTAACCATATAAAGTTAATTATAACTACTAATCACCATATTAATTAAATTCTAAACAACTTAGTATTGATTAACTAACAACAACTAGCGATCGTAATTTATTTTCCTCATGATTTATCTCAAATGTATTACCTGATCAATCAAATGAAACTTTTTCATTTTTTTAATTCTAATTTATTTTTTCATTTTTGAATGACTAGATGTTAATAATTAATTGTTAGTATAATATTTTCTTTTTTTATCAAAACTTACACCTAAGTTTCCAACTACTTAAATCATTAGATTTAAATCAATTGAGCATTCAATTTAATTTAATATATATCTTGGTCCTTTATCAAAACTTAAACCTAAATTTTCAACTCCTTTAATCATTAGTTCAACTAATTCAAACCAATTGAGCATTTAATTCAACTAATTCAAACCGATTGAACATTTAATTTAGTTTAATATATAGCTTCGGCCTGCACTCCCTTATAAAAAAAAAAAAAGATAACATTGCAAATGTGGCCACAACACTCTAATGTATTTTTTTTTTTTAATTAAGGATAAATACTTTTTCTCCATAAAAAACACTCAAGTTTTCTCAAGATATTATGGTATATTATTATTTCACTAACTATGAGTTCGACTTTACAATACATTTTGCTGCAAGGACAAAGTGAATGACCATGGATATGGCTTAATACGAACTTAACTTTGTAAATTTCCTTACAATTCAACAAAATAAAATAAATTTACTTATATAGGGGGGATTTTAAAATCTTATTAATAGTAATGTATATGCCCGAACCCGAGATAAAACTTTTCCTAAAACTCGTTCGTTTGTAAAATTCAATTCAAACAACACACTAAGTACAAGTGTAAGAAAACTATTAATTTGTCTAGAAACAGTGACTCAAGTCAATATGAATGCCAAACTTTAGACTTCTGGTTCAAAGCTGAAAATATTTGTAAAATCCTATTTGTTAGGAAAAGCACAAGGGCATGATTATCAATTTTAAGGAGCATACCCTACACATTGTACTATAACAAATTCAGAAAAGAAAGAAAGAAAAAAAAACTCTTTGGACTAAAAATTTTATAGAAGTCAATTCCTCTTGCGACTAAAATTTCTATAGAAGTCAATTCTAAGATTTTAACACCTAGCGGTAAAAAAAAGATCAACGGTTATACAAAAAGAGTAGAAAATGTGACAATCACAAACACTATCGTGTTTTTGAAATTGGTCCATAAGCTCCAGAGTAAAGACATGGTTTGACCAAAATTGAGAATAAAGTTGCCTAAAGTTGCCCCAACAAAATATATGACCATCTTTAAATAGAAAATGTCACGTCTTTACATTCTTTCCCTCACTATGAAAGGGAACAAAGAATAACAAGGACTATTCTATTTCCTCTCTAGTGTGCCTGGACAATAGCAAAGACTATATAAACAGCTCACAAACCTGCATAGCTCAGATAAAAAAACTTGCATGGCGTATACATAACTTGGGATCAACCAAAGTGCAATAGGTTGAATAGTTGGATAAAGTGTTGTCAGTATATTTGTTTGCAGTGCCCAAGAAAAATATATTTCAGCAGCAACTAGTTAAAGTTTTGCCCAATCAGGATATGGGCATTCATACGTCCATCCAGGTCCAGAGTACCGCATACAATGTAACCACAAACCTTCTTCATCAGCATCATAGCTGAAATTTAAAAATTGACAATAAAAAACAAGTTTGGTGATCAAACCAGCTTAGGTTCATAAAAATACAAGGGTAGCCACTGATCAGAATAGAATCAACTGGATTATAAGATTAAGTAACTGGATGTTTAACATATAGCAACTAACAAATCAAAAATAGGTTTCCATTCCATAAAATATATAATTTAAATAGAGATCAAATCAGAGGAAGAGAAAAATATATGAACATAAACCAATGTCAAATGTGTGTAGTTTGGCTAATTGGCCAGTAATGGTCAATATCCAAAGAGACGTCAAACATTTATATGGATCAACAGTGGTATCAGCAATATCTCCATACTCTTCATACAGAAAGAGATTTTTGCTACAAAAATCATACAGGTGAAGAATCCGGCGGAGCAACTATACACAGCTCCGAGCTTCTAATTTTTTAAGCAGATATTTATTTACCTGATTCCTACCTAATCATGTCCTGAAGCCACAAACCTAAATTACATAAACTGTAGAAACATGCAATCTAAGCATTGTACCAGAGATTTGTTTCACGCTTCTCTTATTATTATGGTTTCGTCTAGTTATGTAATACGAGTAGGAGTTGACGACAAAAAAACCTACCATCACAACCAACATATGATGAACATTATGCTATACACAGCTAGACAAAGGCTTGGGCACAAGATAATTTGCATTTAACTTGCTTCAAAATTAGTATAGTACAGTATAAAGCCAGAAGCAAATATTATTTTCTTTTAATCAAGATGAAGGATTTCATACCCGTTTGGTGCCAAATTTGGACAATTAGTACACATGGGATCAAGGCTAAAATCATCATTGGCATTTTCTTGACATTCGTTGGGCAATTCTTCACCAAATTTTGATGTCAAAGAAACATCAGATATGCGAGCTGATCTATCAGCAGTTGACCCATTAATAGACCGATCAACGGGTTCCTTTGAGATGTACAACATGTCATTGGCTATTGGGTGTCCAGAATACTGTAAATGGACACGTATCTACAGAAAAAGTGGGTATTTGTTAGCTTCGATATTTGCATTAGTAATAGGTTTAAATAAGATGAAGTGCATGATGCATTTTGCCAATTGACTTCACATTTTCAACTGCTTCGGTAATTTCCATTTATCTTTATTGCATTATTCTCCATCAGGTTTATTAACGAAACAATGTCAAGTATGCATGAACATAGGCTGGGATAGCATGACTGGCATGAAGCATGTGACCTACTTAAAAATGTGTTGTCAGTGACTGTCGTGACACATCACTAGAAAGTTTGCGTGCTATTGCTATTCATGGAATGGCAACAGCTCTGCATCAAAACCTATTGAAGGTGCCAGCAATGTTTTTTTGGGGGAAATGAAAGTAATGTTTAGACTGAAGATATAAAAGATACATCAAAGGAATAACATAGAATTACATTAATAATGTGCTATAAAGATCGACACAGAAAAAGGATAAAATTAAAAGCTAAAATAGAAAGCATACTCAAATAAGCAGCTAAAGTCTGGATAAGAAGAAACGATCAATCAAAATCGGCCAACAATTTTCTTACCTGATGGGTGCGGCCAGTGACTGGTTCACATAAAACAATACTATGAGTACCATTGCTACTAATCCGAGTAAATTTTGTAGAGGAAACCTTCCCCTTTGCAGAGTCTCTGACCTTCAATATCAAACATATACATACTTAGATTTACCAAATAAGATAACCTCCTGCCTTACCACCACTTTGAACTTTAATCAACAGAATGTATCAACTTCATTTTTCTTCCAACGATATTTAGTTCTTATCAGAACATCAGAATAACCAATACAATAGCCAACACCCAGGTTGTTTTCTGTTGTTATATGCCCACTTAAATTTGATCATTTAGCAGTGACTAATGAACCAATGGTGGCAGGTCTATTTGTGTTTCTCATGATGCTATTCTTGTTGAATTGGAAGGAAGATATAATTGTCTTAAACTATGATTTTACAACCACGTTGCTCTGGTTCAGAAATACTTTTTTGAATTGTGACAAGATCAGCATTGGATGCTACCAACTCATGAGCAACTTATTCCTCAAAAGTATTGATTAATTAGTGAGTGGGCTTGATATGTGGACAAAGCACAATCCATAGATTTTGAGCTTAAACTCGATTTAATAAATAATGGTCATAAAGACTTTTATTATATAATATCACAACCAACTATCCGTAAGGGTTAAGCTGTAATACAAAAACACGTGAATCATTTTTAAATTACATTTCTGATAGGTACGATTGTGTGAAATTCTAGATACTGGTTATCTACATTAAAAGGTATCTGACAATTCACTTCAGCTGAAGTTGAGCTAGAATCATACTTACTACTGAGTGGCTGACTCTAACCTTGATACACTTAACATGAATGTTGAATGAGTTGGGAGTGTAAAGGACTTGAGCTTAAAAGGAGCTACTACATCAATACTAAATATTTCATAATCCTTTTTATAAAGGTTTAGAAGAGGTTTTTTATAGGGTATCACTTGTTTGGGCTTTTTTAATAAGCAAAATATTTCCAATTAATTAAGTTTTCTCACAAAATTAAAATGATAGATTGTTTTTCTCTTAGCTAGAAACCAGATCCTAAAAAAAGCTATATCATATGAGCAGATCTTTTGGATTCACTAAGAATCCAAATAATGTCGCATTTTTTTCATTTGCTTTTTATTTTTTAGGAATTTGTAATGGAAGAAGTGAAACCGCAAAATCTCTTGTTCACCATTTCTTGTACTAATACTTGAAAATGAAAATAAAGTTAAATACTGAAATTTATAATATTTAGTTTTAAGAACACAAGAAAAAAAAAATTTTAAATCAAACAGGCCCTGGATTCTTCTACCATGAAACAAAATATAACCAAATGACTTACCTCTGCTGTGCTCCTTCCTTCTCGAGCATTATAGTCTATATTGGCATCAACAATTAGCTGAAAAGTAAAAACATAGTCATGAATTTTGACTCCTAGTATAACAGAACATAATCATATATAGCTAAAATCATCAGATATTGTTATGGCAATATTGCAGTTAGTAGCTTCAATTGATGAAAATGTTATCCTGAACAATATTGCTGCATTGATTTGGTCAAAATAAAAATAAACACTTGTACATGCCCAACCTGTTGCTTCTTCAAAGACAAAACTGCAAAGTGCGGATATTTGAATATTTCTTGCATCCATTTTATTCACCCCCTCCCAGAATCTCATTAAAGAGCCCCATAATTGAGTTATTTACACGTCTCAAAGAGACACTAACTCTTTGACCCAAAGTGATAAGCCTATGACACTTTTAACAAATTGAGTTATTTAAATATCAACAAAACCCTTCATTATTCTCCATAAAAAGGATGATAGAAGTAATCACTTAAGTAATCCTTATGATGCTTTATTATGCTCACAAACAAACAAAAAAGAAAACAAATGATGTCACATTGTTATCAATTATAAATACTTGCAGGGTTCACTTCTTCGGCATAATATTAATAGTAGCATAACTCATCCTAGTCCAAATAAAATACCTCATCCTGGGGAAATTCTCCAACTACTTTTGCAATATATTGTTTCTTGACTAAGCCAGCTTCAATCTGTAACAATCAAATTCTATAGTTATAATGGTTGTATAGGGAAAAAGATTTGAATGTTGGTATATTTATTGTAAATCAACCGTGTTCTCTTTTTTTTTCTTAATTAAAAAATCAAACATATTCTGTCAAAGCTATGACCTCATATTCTGATAACACGAGTACATGACACAACAAACTAAACAACTTTCTTCAAGAGAGGACTGCTACTACACGGACATAGACTCAGTTGTGCTTTGCCTAAAGAAATTCTTTCTTCTTCTGTCTTAGGTAAGTTTAAGCTAGAGGTCAGAGTCATGAAAGGAGACTTTTAGCACTATTTCTACATCGCAAAAGATAGCACCAATGTACTAAAGTACAAGGGACCAGCGAAAAAACTGGTATGTCCAGAATGGTTTGAGTCACAGTACGCAGATCCATCTCGTACAAAACAGGTAGCGGTGGAAGCCAACTTCCAGATTGATTGGCACAATCTTAACATCATCAAGCAATGTCCGGCTTGGGATTAAGCATGGGACCAAGAGGATACCAGTATATCACGGAGATGTATGGGTGGATACTGATCCAATTGATATAAAAGACTTGTCCTCCAACACAAACCTTACCAATAGATTGGTAAATGTAAGTTATTCCATTCATTTGTTATTGCAGCAAAGGGTATAAATTGAGTATACATGCTAAGCTAACCACTACTTTTGGATATAATACATGAAGAGATATTTGAAACCAATGAAGCACGGACACGATACGGGTATCGTATTGAAACTAAGAAGCTCTTTATACAAATATCACTATCGGTACTCGACCATAACCTTTTGTAAATCTAGATTCCAAGATAAAATATATAAATTTAAACTTGCAATATAATAGTCTTACCAAACATTACTTGCTAGTTATGTTTGGTATATGCAAGTTCACTGTTCAGGGCACGCAAGAAAATATACCTCATAAATCATAAATTCATAATTGTATTTTTCTGGTGAAATAATTTAATTAAAGATATAATGAAAACTCTTGTATATCACAACACTTCTTAAAAACATTCATATTACAGCTCAAATACTTTAAGCAACATGAACTAATTTGATCATAAAATATCATGTAAAATTAAATAATGTAAGAGACAAAAGAGTGAAGAAAAAGACACGAGTCCAAGCTTAAACTTACCTCCTGCCTAAAACTGTCAGCTTTTGTAGCATTTCTGGCTATAATAAGGAGCCCAGAGACAAGGCGATCCAGTCGATGGATAGCTGAGATGATCGTGTCAAGGAAAATTGCAAGTACAAAATCGATAAACTCCGGGAAATAAAACAGAAATCAATTACAGAATGGTTAAACTCTGAGACAGGGAAAATGAAAGTAAAAAATTGATAGTCTCATATTCAAAAATAAGTATGCAAAATGTGCATGGGAGAAGCTATATTTTAAGTTAATTGAGAATTGAAAACCTTGTCAAAAATGACCCTCATTTTTATGATGATTAAATAATTTACTTCCAAAATGAATTTTTGGATACGAAACAGAGGCGCCAGTCCATGCTCTGCTTGAAGGATGCCAACAACAGTGTTCTTACGATATTGACCACATGGATGAACCTATGTACCAGCTAAAAGTCACAGCTTTAGTTCAATGTGTATAATGCTAAGCAAACTATCATTATGAGGCACCTCACTCGTTGGCAACTAATAGAAAATCCATTAAAAATTCTGGACTTTTTTACATATAATAGTAAGAAATAATTCAAAAACATTAAGCATTATTAGCCAAAACCATCAAGTCATTTTCTAATATAAAAAATTAAAATTCCTGTCTTCTGCCAACATTTGAAGCAGTTCAATCAAAACCCAATATAAAATAGTGTTGTATAAGTGCTGGATGGCTATACAGACATAGATACGTGCGGATGGCCAAAGCTAAAGCATGGCGGCTATATTAAAATGTTCATATATTCAAATACTACTCAAATACCCCTCCCAATACTATGCAACAAAATCTATAAAATCATCATGGTGAGGTGCACGGAAGGACCTGATTCTATATAGGTTTACTGCAAGCAGCCTTGACCTTTCATTAGCAAGAGACAGAATTGACAGCTCAAGAACCTATGGCCTCCTAATCACATACAACAACTATGACCGTTATTTGAAGGCTACCCTTCCAAACTAACCTTCTCAACAAGAATAAGAAACAAATAATAATTTATATCCGAAACAATAAAATATTAAAACGTATTTAGGACAAATTTCACCATATGCTTTCAAATCATTGTTGTTTAAAAAAAAAAAAACTTTTATTATTTATCTCAATTATTATAACACTAGAACATTTTTTCAGAATTTCATATAAATTGTTAAGAAATTATTAGAAAAGGATCAGCTCATTCTCCCTATTACTATGTACTATAATTAAAATGAAAGTTTTATAACATGGCCACTCGCCTAACCCACTTATCAAACTTACTTACAGGGACAGACGCCGGCTTACAAACAGTTAGCACATCTGGTTCTTTTAGAAGAATAGGAACCTCACAAGCCATCACAGGTGGTTCATGCCTGAAACCGCAACAGTAACAAAATCAGTTACAAACTCTATCACAGCCACAGAAATAAAGCACCAAGTATTTTTTTCAAACCTGTGTAAAAAATGGCTTATCTTTTGAGATGATTTAACCACATACGAAACCGGCACCATTTCACCATCAACTTGAATCCTTCCACATTTCACTGCACTAACCTACAACCCAAACAAATAATCATATGACTGAGCCTAGGGAGCAACACCATTTCGCCATATTACTAAGAAAAAAAAATTACATAATAATAACAATAGAAAATTTCTTACATAATATTCATAAGGTCGACCTTTAAACTCCTCAGCGAACAAATCCACAATGGTTTTCCCAGCCCATCGATTTTTCACCTGACATTAACAAATTGAAAATTTCTAGGGTTTAACTAGGGTTTTAACAATAAAATGGAAAGACTGGCAAACCGAACTAACATGAGCGATGAATTCGAAGTAGTATGGTCTAACGAATCGAATTCCTGCACAAACTCCATCAATAGAAAGGGAAAAAAATGAGGATCGTGTATAATGATACAATTTCAATTTCGAACTTGTTAACTGAATGTGTGGAAACTCCGAAAGATTTGATATTTACCGTTTCGAAAGATGTAGTCTTGCGGTAGCGGGGGGTTTGCTGGGGTTTGCCATACGATGTCCATACACTCGTTCTTCTCTTCTCTCTTCCTCTTCATCATCTTCACTCACATTCTATAGCGTCAAAAAAGGTTTTGAAAACTTGGAAGGTAGTGTCTGACAAAACGACATGTTTTACTATGTCGTTCTGGCCAATTTAAAAATGATAGTAGTAGTTTTATCATTTTTAAAATTTGGAGCCTCACCACACACACAAAAAAAAAGTCTAACATTTTTATGTTGGCCATGAAATAGTAAAATATGTTTTTACCTTTTTATTTTTACTTTATCACTTATATTAAGAAAAGAATAACTTTATTTAATAACTGTTATTTGATTTTTAGTTTGTAGTCTTTCTTATTAAATTTTGACTTTTTTTAAAAATTATTTAAAATGATTTTTAAATTCGTAACTTTTAACTTATCACTTTTTCTTCCATTTATTTAGACTTTATTATTTTAATACAAATTTACTTTTATCCTTCAATCTAATTATATATATATATATATATATATATATATATATATATATATATATATATATATATATATATATATATATATATATATATATATATATATATATATATATATATATATATATATATATATATACTAGTTTATTTAATTTATTATATTTTATTATTTTAGATGCTAGTATATATACAAAGAGATTATGAGGATTATGGAAGAATTGAAGTTACTAATTAGGTATATCAACAAAAGTTAAATCTATGATTTTTTTTTTAGTCAAGTCTTTACCAAATGAATTAATTTTCATTTGTCGGGAAATGTCAATTTTAATGTATAAATAAAATAAATATTTAACCACCTGTTAGTTAATAGATATATTAGAGTTAAGAATAAGTTGAATCGAGTCGAGTTGAATTTGTCTTTGTTCGGCTCGACTTAAGAAGAATCAGTTTAGCTTAAAATTCGATTCGAGTTTGATATTGTTCTGGACTAGGTCAAGACCTGCCCCTTAGCCAGGTAGGCCCAACCCAAGGCTAAGATGATGAGGCCCAACAAGGCCTAATTTCCTCTATCGGACAGGAGTCTCAACAAGGCACATTCGCCGGGCAGAAGACCCTCCTGACTGGGAATCCCACACATTTTCCCCATGTTCTCCACGTGTCCCTCACGTGGGGACACGTCATCAGGCAACTACCTACTTCAGAAAGAGATGGTCAGCCCACCTTCCGAAGATCACGGGACATTTGATTCAGGGCGAAGACCACGTGATGGTCTTCACTACGCCACGTAAGCTCTGACAGTTACTTGTGTTGGGCTTGGCAATCCGGTCAAATGCAATGTAACAGGTGGCCCTGCGCTGGGGGCACATTATAAATATCCTCTTTCACTAGAGGGTCAGGTATTCAATTCTTCTCACTTTCTCTATGTACTTGCTCTCTCCAGATCCAGTACTTACTTAGGCATCGGAGCATTTTGTAGATACGCCCATTTCTCCTCCACAACCCCGGTGAAGGCATCAAATCACGACGCATGGCAGACCATTGATTCCTTTCTGATCAGGTGAGATCAGTGGCACCGTCTGTGGGAAACCCGTTTCCCCGTTCTTTCTCCTGTCCGAGCACAACAACACAAGAACCAAAGCGAAAGTAACAAACAAATTTCATTCTAATCATGACCAGCCCGCGCCACAAAGTTGCTCCAGGATCTGCCTTCGCCCCATTTTTCAACGGGGACATCCACGATCCCAACACGGTCGTCTGCAGCGAATAAGGTGATCACATGGACGGGCGCACTGCCTCTCCCTCCTCAGAAGACACGACCTACAATGTCGTTTAATGCTTGGACAATCCAGCAGTCTACCAGCTCATCCTGGTCCCAACTAGCGTCGATCCTACCATGGTGGCTCTGTTCGCGGCCATCAACCAAACCAACTTGATGATCTTCGGGCAGAACGAACGAATATGGATGCTCGAAAGGGAACAACCATCACGCTCTCCCCCATGGAGACATCGTCGTCCTGTTTCACTCAATTTGTCCCTTCAACTGCAGAGACACCAGCGCCCGATTCCCATCAGTCTGTCTCCTCCCCCGCGGAGGACGCGGCTCGTCGAAAAACCACGGAGTCCCTCCTCCTTGCCGACGGGGCGCCGACCTCGTTTGGAGCGACCTCAACAGCCAATTTCCCACAAACGGGACAGGTCGCCTCCCCGAAAAGAGCGACGTTCCCCGACTCAGAAGAAGAAGGTCGTAGGGGGTCCCTCCAAACTCAGAGCTTGACCAATGAGTCCCCTACGTCGAAACCGAAACCACCAGAAGTCAGCTTCCCCCTCACTGTCTCCCAACAGGAGCGATGAGGACCTCCAACACTCACCACTATGTAGAGCCATCAGGGAGGCCCCACTGTCGGCTGGAATGGAGAAACCCTTGATCCTGGCTACCTACGGTGACACAGTCGACCCGGACGACCATATCGAAAGCATAGACGATATGTTCGACTTCCGAAATGTCTGGGAAGCCATCAAGTGCAGGTTATTCCCCACCACCCTGAGGAAGGGAGCCATGGCAAGGTATAAACGCCTCATGCCCGATTCCATTACCTCCTGAGCAAACTGAAGCGGCAGTTCTCTAGGTACTTCACGGCTTCCCGACGCCATCCGAAGATAAAAGCGGCCCTAGAAGCCATCATCCAGGGGAGGAACGAGCCTATCCGTGACTACATAGAGAGGTTCAATTGCGAAGCCGTCCAGGTATCCACCATGAATAATATGAAGAGATTCTTGATACAGAGGGACATACGACCACACTCTGACTTCGCCAAAGTCGTTGGAATCGCACGTCATCGCACCTTGAATGCCCTCCTCCACAAGGATCAATCATACATCGAGTATGAGGAGATAGAGACCGCCAACACCGCCATGGACAGAAGGAACCAGGAGTATGTCAGAGGCGTCAGGCACGAGGAAGCCCCTCTGCCTCGACGCAACGAACAAAGAAGGCGCAAGGACTGGCCCCGCGAGCAAAAAAGGTCGGCGGGCCGATTCACGCTACTCACAGCTCCCTGCGAGCACATCCTGGCCGAATGCATCAATTCGGAATTTCATAGGGACAGAGTTCGGTTCCTAAAATCGACACCCCCGAAGCCCAATATGGACAAATCTAAGTATTGTCGGTTCCACTAGAGCCATGGGCAGTCACGGAAGATTGAATCCACCTCAAAGACGCAATCGAGATCCTAATTAAAAAAAGGCATCTAAAACAGTATACCCGGAGGGGTGAAAACCACAGACCTGAGGCCCACAAGGCCAAGAGGGTCAAGGAGGTGTCAGTCCCCTCCGACGAACCAGGACTGCAGGTGGCTCTGTACATCTCCCGACTAGAAGATTTCCTCCTCTTTAGCGAGCCCGCCAGACCACTGACCACCCACAGTCCTTGGGAAGATTTCCCCACCGCATTGGTGATATCCAGAGGGGGACCCAGTAAGCTGTCAGTCGGGTCAGTCAAGAGGAAGTTCGAGGAACTCATCGATAAGATCTCAAAGACGAACGCTACCCTCGATAGGTTCAAAGGGCAATCAAACCCGATCACCTTTTACCTCAAGGAACTCCCCGAGGGGCACCCAACGTCAGCATTCCCCTCCTGATCAGAGCTCAGATGGTGAACTTCGATGTTCGCCGTATCCTGGTCGACCAAGGGAGTTCGATGGACATAATGTACGCCCACCTGTTTACGACCCTGCAGCTCGATGAGAGCCACTTGACTCTGTATATGGGCTCCGACCTCCAAGGCTTTAACGGTACCACTACTAAGCCTTAGGGATACGTAGAGCTACTGGTCACCTTTAGGGCCAAGGAGACAGCCCGACAGGTGAAAGCCCGCTTTCTGGTAATTGAGTGTCCTTCCTCGTACCAGTGCATCCTGGGACGACCAACTTTGGTCGAGCTGACCGCAGTACCGTCGACAGTCCACCTGAAGATGAAGTACTACACGACCAGAGGGCGGGTAGTCACTCTCCACGGAGACATCGAGGCAGAACTCAAAGGACTCAACTCCAAACGGGGACTTCAAACTCATCATGTTAGGAGACGACCTCGGAAGAAGCGTAAAGATCGGCACAGGACTCCTCGACTTAGCAAAGAAACAACTCAAGGTCTGTCTCTGGGAGAATGCTGACCTCTTCACATGGAGCGTTGTTGAAATGCCTGGGCTTGACCCTGACATAGCTTGCCACCACCTCTCCATAGATCTGGCCGCTAGGGCCATAGTTCCATCAACGGACTCAGCTCCATCAACGTCCCCCCCCCCCCAAGTCGACCGGCAGACCAGCCCCGGCAGAAGAGCCGAAACCCCTCCCGCACGTCAACTCGGTCAACCTCGACAACCATTTCAACGGTAAGCAAGGACAAAGTGAAGGATCCGAAGATATGCCTCTAGTGGACAACGGGAAGCTCCCCCATCCGACACACCCCATTCTAGACGGGGACTTCAAACCCATCATGTTAGGAGACGATCCTGAGAGAAGCGTAAAGATCGGCACAGGACTCCTCGACTTAGTAAGGAAACAACTCAAGGCCTGCCTCTGGGAGAATGCTGACCTCTTCGTGTGGAGCGCTGCTGAGATGCCCGGGCTTAACCCTGACATAGCTTGCCACCACCTCTCTATAGATCCGGCCGCTAGGGACATAGTTCAAAGTAGGCGTAGGCAGTCTCTCGAGAAAGCGGAGGCTGCTGAAAAAGTTGTAAAATACCTTCTAGAGGCAAATTTTATATCGGAAGCCCAGTACTCAACCTGGTTGTCAAATGTTGTACTTGTTAAAAAATATAATAAAAAATGGGGAATATGTGTTGATTATACGATCTCAACCGAGCATGTCCCAAAGATGCCTACCCATTGCCTAACATCGACAAACTCGTCGACAATTCGGCAGGCTTTAAATTGTTGTCGTTCATGGACACGTACTTGGGATACAATCAAATACCCAATGCAAAGAGTGATAAGTAATACACAACCTTCATGACCGAGTCGGACAATTATTACTACAATGTAATGCCCTTCGGTCTGAAGAGCTTTGGGGCGACTTACCAAAGGATGA